CTTTTATTTTAAAAAATTGAAGGATTGTTTCTAAATTTATCCCTAATAAATTTGCTGCCTTTTTGGCTTGTTACTTGCAATATGTGACATTAGAATAATTAATTTCAAATTTAACTTTGAAAATATCCATTCACTATCATAGTAAATTGAAAGTTTAGTAGCATAAAATAAAATCACTACAACATGAGAAATGGTTTTTCCCTCTTTTCTTCTTTTGAGGAAAAATGACCAATTTAGTTCCTAAAATTTTTTGATAGTGCCGATTCAGACCCTAACTTTTATTCCTATCCAATTTGATACATGAACTTAGTTTGTGATTTTAATTAAGGACCTCTATGTTGGCACGACCACATAAAATTGATCGAACTCCTAATTGATGAACTAAATGGGGTATTTTGAGAATGTCACTCACGTGGTTTTAATAAATCAAGAAAATCATGTAAAAAAAATCATAAGATTAAACATTACGAAAGTTTTATTCGGAGAATTTTTACACGATTTAAAAGTTTTATCTAGTAGTTTTTTTACACAATTTAGTTGCTCTATTACAATCCCATGAGTAACCTCTATCTAGTTAATCAATTAGGAGCCAAATTAGATTTAGGTAATCATGCCATCGCGAAGGTCCTTAATTGGAATTGCAACATAAATTCAAGTATCAAATTGGTCAGAAATAAAAGTTAAGGCCTAAATTGATATCATGAAAAAAGTTTAGGAATGAAATTAGCTATTTTTCCTTAAGCATTTGAAGAAAATTTTTTCCCAGTGAGCAAACATGTACGCGTTGACCTTTTCTTTTTTTTTTTTTTTTTTCTAGACCAGTTCTTTTAGGCAAAAGCAAAACAAGTAAAGATTATGAAAGAGAACCAATTTTAATCTATTCTAAATTGATAATCATACAACTTAAATTGAATATATAGTTGGATTTGGATTAGGAATAAAGAGAGATTAAACAGCATGTACGATTTCAAGAGGAATTAAAACACATTTAAGTCAACTATATCAATTAATTTAGAAATATGTAACGATATATAACAGAACATGGAATACCACCATAATCCTTTATACGCAAATTACTTAAGAAGAAAATATATTATGCTTCAAGATTTTATTTGGAATGAAGTAAATTTATTATCAGAATATACACTACAAGAAATTTGGTCATCAGTGACAACATTTCTTAGTGACAACAGAAAAGTTGTCACAAAATGAGGTCCTCTACCAACAACTTTGAAAGTCGTCACAAATGTCTCATAGAGCTAACTAATTAGTGACGACTTGTATTTGTCATCACAAACATATTCCCTCTAACAAGATCCAAGAGAGCCGGAGTTGTTGGTGAATACTTTTAGTGACGACTTGATGAATATCATCACTATTACTAGCTCTATTTTTTTTTTGACAACTTTGCAATGTCGTCACTGAAGCTTGTGTACTTTCGTTACTGGCAACTCTCTGTTGTCACTATAATAATGGATAGCTTTAGTGATAATTATATGTTGTTACTAAACTATCTTAGAATTTTTACAACTTTGGCAATATATTAATATTAATATTGATTTGTTTCTAATGAAACCGTTTGACTATCATACAATTTCGAGCCTCTTGATTTTCATATGAATTCGCAATTTGACTAGTTTAGTCAAATTGGTCATATTAATTTGTCAAAGAATGACTTGTTAAAGGAAAAAAGACTAAAGAAATTTTGTAGTTAATTTCCCAATACCTGAAAAATGTTAAGCTGTAAGAGTTTGTAAATTGAACTAGTTATTAAAGCAAATAAATCCTAAACTCTTTAGTTAATTAATTAAATCAATTTATTGCTTTAATTATTTATTTTTTAGTCAAAGGTAATAAATTAAATGTGAAGTTTTATGTTTGACTAATAGTAAATGAATTATTTATGAAAAAATATTTTTCCTATCTAATTGATCTTTTTTTAAAAAAATTTTTAATAAGAAAGAGTTGACTTTAAGAACTACGGTATTGCAAAAGGTACTTTTTATGACAAGGTAATTTTTTACAAAAGTCTAATTCACTGCAAAAAGTCATGTTTTATGACAAGTTTCAGGTTATCGTACAATAATTTAAAGCAAGAATAGCCATCAAAATTCGTGCTTCTCAATGTAAAATAATTGAAAATACTACTGTACTATTAGGCTAAAATAATGAAAGAAACATAAATAAGTTGTAGTAATTTCACAATTTCTAGACAATGACGTGAATATTAACACTGGATGAGCTATTTGATATCATGAAAAAGCGAACTATTTGAAGTAGAAAAATGTACATTTACCACTAGTATTAATGCAGCAAATTTCTCATCCTTTATGAATAGTTTCAAAAAAGCATAAACAAATAGAAATTAATAATATATTACTAAAATTATACTTCAACTAAAAAGTAAAACTAAAAAACTTTATTTGAAATTTTGCAACTAAACAAGAAAGGGGGGAAGCTAAGGAATTGAAATTTCATTAAAAGTGAGTAAACAAAGAAGAGGCGCGGGTGTACATAAAACACTTAGAAATCAAGACCGGCTCCTAGTACTCTTTCACTATACACTATACGCCCAACACTTAGAACCAAAATGAGTTTCTCCCTCTTCATCTCTTCATCTTTGCCAAACAAAATAGAAGAACTTCTCCTCCTTATATCTGTTGATTGATTATGGCTCTGCAGTGCTGAATCGAAGACTTCCTCTACCACCAACGCTCTACAATAGAAGGTCCGCCCTTTCTCTTTTTTCTCCTGAAATTTTTCCCAAATTTTTTGCCCTAATTAATTTTTTGCTAAAAATTTCTCTCCAATTTTTTTGGGTTTCTTTTGATTTATGGATGGAGTCATCTCATGATTGTGGAATTTGTTTTGTTGTGGATTTCTACCCTAAAATTTTTTCCCAACTTTTTCTTATACAAGACAAGGGGCTTTAGAGAGATTCGATTGTGGGTACATACCGATTTGTGATGGGCCTAGGAGGGCAAATTTAGTGTTTCATTTTTTGTGTTAGTAAAATGGAAGAGAATTAGGAGTGATTTTGTGAATTTTTTGCTAGTGAGTGGTTGCATGCGAGGAAACTAGTTGGTAGAATGGTGTTGGGTTAAGAGGGAAATGAAAAATAGTGATTCGGGATTTAATTAAGTGGATAAGTAGCTCAAGATCTAGGTACAAGGTTTGGTGAAAATTTTTGTACTGTCAAAGATATCTTTTGTTTTGTTGAAATTTGGTTAACTGTAATGGGAATTTCACCAATAAACTATTTATTTAGTTGGAGTGTGCTTTCTCCTTCACATTGCCAAAGCGTGTATGGCCCTGTTTCTTGTTTGTTTGATTTGGAGTGGTAATTTTTTCCTATTTCCCAAAAAGCGATCTCATTAAGAAAAAAAGGAAAAAATAGATTTTTGTAAGATGGATTTGATGGTGGGCTTTATGATACTAACTTCAACCATTACCATACCAGTTCTTTGTGTTCCGCCTGTTGTTCTAAACATCTAAATATATAGTCAAATTTGTCACTTCACTTAATAGTTAGGTCAATCTGCATTATGTCTACCATACGAGTCCTTTGTGTTCCTATTACTGCATTATGTCACTTCACTTAAAAGATGTTGGAAATGATACAAGGAAAGGCAATTGCTATAGACCTATGGCTATCCAAACAATATTAAGTGATCATGATAATCTGCTGATTCATCTGGGGTCTTATGAACTTAAAAGAATCACTTGAAATAGTCTTGACAATAGGAAAATAGTGGAGCTGATATGGAATTAGTCACATTTTAGTTGGGTCTTAACTTGTATGCCTTGATACAAGAAAAGCTTGAGCACATTAACCTAAAATGGAAAGCCAGTTAAAAGCTTTCACAAGTTAGTTCAATTTAGTATTTACCTACTAGGAGTTTGGCTTGTTATTTGAGATTGATATATAGTGCTGCTGTAATTTCACTGTGGATAATTAACCAACTCAGATTGAATCACTTAAGAATGAGGCATGAAGTTTAAGATGAGATGACTTTATAGATAGATACATACATAGTTGTGTCTTATAGGTGGATCATGGAGTTCACCTTTGCATATTCTGAGCGGTGAAAAATTCATCCTTATCTTATTTTTCATTAATTAATTGAGAGCTTATCAGCTCAATAGCTTTTCACTTAACTATTAGGTACTTTTTAGTCTTAGGAAAGCAAAGTTAATTTGTTACAACTCTATACCAGAGTAAAGTGATATATGCTAAGTGGCAACTAGAACGGCTATCTATTTATTTAATGTAATACAGCTTTGAACAGAATTTTTGTAGAAAAGTTGCATTGTAGTATAGACTTTCATGTAATTACGTATGATGCCTGACCTTTGCATAATCAATTAATCCACCGGCTTCTTGTACAGATTGGATCACTGAGTTGAGTAATTCTCTGCAATTAACTTGTCCATTTTCTGCTGTAAATTTAGCTTCAGTCAACGAGCGACTTATGGACAAGGCCTACAAAATACCATGAAGAGCAAAAGGTATTGGTACCAGGACATGCCTTGATTTGGTTTTGACAGATTAAACTAAGCACAAATAAGTTGTGCAATCCATCTATTTACTCTTAATTTCTAAAAAAGTTGTGCAATCCATCTAGCAACTTGTTTGGTCTATTTTGTCTCATTTAATCCTCTAAATGTTCTATTTTTTGCTTGTTAAAAAGACATCTCTGGAGCATAGATTATTTTGATTAGTTGAAATAATCTCTAGAGCATAGTCATCCCTAGTTAATAAAAATCATTTACGACTGGTTAGCTCAAATATAGATTACGCTTGACTAAAGTTGATTGTAATGACTATGCTTGACTATCTTTTAATTTTTGAGCAATAATGCTCTATTCAGATTGATAGTTGTAGGTATTGCTAGATCAATCTGCATATGTACAATTTGATGTGAATTAAACTCCCAAAACTTAAATTGTTTGTACTGTGATTATTAGCTTTTGCAGTGATTGAAGCTACGGACATAGGTTCAATGTCTCACTAGGAGATTGTCATATAGCTGCATTTTTTACTTTAAGGTGAGTTAATACGAACTCTCTTTTTTTCCTTTTTCCTTTGTTTTTGTGATCACATGCGCACTTAATTGGAAATGACTATCCAATCTCAGCAGCAACTGATGGAAACACTTGTGAGCCAACAAACTTAGATGCAGAAACAGCAGAATGAAATGCAGAGCCTGCTTAAATCTCTAAACACAACTGGAAGCTAGGCAGCAAGGTAATGAGAGCACATATGCTCGAAATTCATGGCAAAACCTTTTTCTGATCATACTTTTAATAAGGTAGATTTGTAATAGTACAAATCAAGTGCAATATGAATCATGGACATAATTTTCTGCCCAATTGACTTAATGAGGGCATTTATATAGATGGTTTAATTTTGGGTAGTAAGCTAATTTAAAATAACCTTTTACGGGTTGAAGAATGAACTTAATCAAGTTATTGTAGCACAACAATTTGCAGCGAATCATTGTTTTATGTTATCCATGGCTAATTTTTATAAGTAACAATCCTTTGTCTTCAGTAGAACATATAGAATATAAATAAGTTATTGACATTACTAATACTTCAATAGCTAACTTTTGAGTTCATTTGGGATATTGTTCTTGTTATGACAATTAATCACCTTCTTTATTCTTTTCCTTACTAATTTCCTACTCATTATTTGAGTTTGTGATAAGTAAATCTAAGATTTTTTTCCTTTTCAAAATGCTTGTTACTTACTATTGTTATACTACTTTATGCAGACAAATGCTACTATGTCAGATTTTGTGCAAAATTCATAGCTACTAAGTGGACTCAAGAAGGATGAAGATAAAGCTGCTTTTTTGGCTCGTGAAGTGTTTTGGAAGTTTTTATGACTTTTCAGGCTCGGATGCTTTTTGTAAACTTGATTGACTTTGCATGAACAATTTGGGTTACACAGTACCACTTCTATTGTAGTATTTGTAGGATGACATTGAACTTAAACATTATATTTTGGTCCTTTGTAGCATAATGGATGCTTTTAGCTATTAATTAGCAGGCCTTTTATGGTTCTTTTGATTTGATGAATTGTTGGATTCCTTTTTAGTATAATGGATGCTTTTAGATATTAATTAGCAGGCCTTATATGGTTCTAATTTGATGTATTGTTGGATTGGTTGCTTTTAGGACAATCGTTTGTATCAGGTTTCATAGTGACAATATATTGTTACTAATCAGATTTCTCCACTAACAACAAAAAGTTGTCACTAAATAGGGTGTATAACAAAAAGGTATATAGTGATGATAAATGTTGTCAGTAAAGAGCCATTTTTAGTGACGACTCTAAAGAGTTGTGAGTAACCAATCAATACCAACGGCAACTATGAAAAGGATTTTACTGACGACACTACTACGAGCATCATTGATAAGGTGAAATGTCGTCACTATATATGTATTTATTATTGACAAAAAATATTGTCACTAATGAATAACATTTACTGACGACATTTAATGTTGTGACTGTGTACCTTTACCGACAGAGATTCACTGACGACTTTGTGACAACTAAAATGTTGTCAGTAAAACACGTTAGTGACGACTTTTACATTTTCTGTGATAATAATCAGTTGTCACTGATGACCAAATTTCTTGTAGTGATATTGGAACTCATTAGAATTGAAGAGAATAGTTGACTGGTGAATCTGATTGATCATTCCACCTATCCTTCAGTTAAAATTCCAGCACTCGTATGCCTTATTAAAATTTCCCGAGCCAGTAGCAAAGGGTTTTAGCCCATAGGATAATAGTAGGGACTATCATTATTTTTTGGCAAAAATGTAAAATTCTTAATTACGGAATGGGGATTGGGTATCTAAATTTTACAGTGGGCTTTTACTCTCCTTTTGTGTGCTTACATAGTGTCCTAATTTGGGTGTGCTCATATTGACAGGTTGTCAGCCTGTGCAATAATAAAAACCTGCTCAACTAAAGTTAATTTCTGTAGATAGTGGTAAGTAGGGTCGAATCCACAGAGATTAGGTGTAACTGTTTCTTTTCAAATTCACAGTAACAAATGGGGTGTTTTTGTGCAGAAGGTGATAATCAAAGAATTTCAAATAAAATCTAAGAAGCTACTAAAAATTAAATAACAAATTACTAAAATCAAATTGGTGATAATTAAGAATCTAACAAAGAAATAACTTCAGCAATGGTGCATCTAATTGATCATCGAAACAAAGGCAATTCCAATTATTTACTAAAAAATATGTTATAACTGCCAAAGAAGCGATGACAGTCAACCCCTCCTTACTGTGTCGGTGATTAAGGTACGCCCGTTAATCACTACTCTAATTGAGAAATAATCTTAGGTACGCCCGTAAGATTTAATTTTCCAATTGCCTTACATATTAGAGGAGCCCTATTCTAACCAAATAACACACTACCAGGGTTATTTTAGATTAGTCCGCGTATTCCCTTGACACAAACCTAATCATGCCAATTATCACTATTTTGAGACAATTAAACAATTACGGATTTAACGTCCCAATTGACAATAGATTATCAAATTAACTAATTATCCGGATCCAAGACAATCAATTAATTAAACAATCATAAGCACTATAATCAAAGAATATGCGGATACCAATAAATAAAAAGAAAAGATAAAATTAAATTGATCTCACAGTTTTTAGGCGAATCAAAGCATCCGTTGTTTCTTGACTAGAGTGAGGAGATTAGTTCATATTGATGAAGAAAATCCACAGAAAATTGAAGGAATAACTGCGGCCATTGTACTTCAAAACTAGGAAAAACTCAATTCGTTTAATTGGTGGAAAGCTCTTGGCATGCGCAGGGGGCAACCACAAAAGACAAAAGGAAAAAGTCAAAGAAAGCGAAAGGAAGTCCATTGTTTTTCCTTGTCATCACCAACGAGAGAACTACTACTAAAAAGCTAAGAAAGAAAAAATCAAAGCTACTCTAATGCTTGGCTCTTGTGCGGCGGCCCCCCTTGCGGAGAGGATGACCCCCAGCCCTTCGTTCCTTTCCTCCTTTTATGCTGTCTTTCGCAAATTACCAAAAAAAGATCACGCCTTGATATTCCAAAAATACCCCTGGATGCCTGCCCTTTGAGCTCTATTTTGAAAATCATCAAATTGACTCTTGTTATGATATTTTTGATCTACTCTCTGAAATAAATGCAAATTACGAAAAGTGAGTAGAATCTAATAATTAATCCACATCGAGTTAGATAATAGGAGAAATTAACAATAAAATAATTGAATAAATCGCAACCTATCACTTCCCTCCACACCTAAATCATGCTTGTCCTCAAGCATGAGAACAGTAAACAAACATCAGTATTTGACAATGACTATTGCTCTATCTACCATATTGCCAAGATACCAAGAAAAATAATAATCAAGCATCAATGGCCAAGTCCAAGAAAAATCACTCCGGTTAGCTTCTGAACCATAAATTCTTCCAATTTCAGGTTAACTAATCTAAGAAAAAGGAGTGGTCGCTCAACATTTATCAGTGAATGGTCCAACTATTAACCAAAATCTCCATATTAAATCCATAAATCGGCAAGCTGACTTTTATTATACACTAACACAACCTTCACTTTTTTATCACGATTTTTTGCTTTTCTCTTTTTTTGATTTTTTTTTGCTTTTCTCAATAGTAACAAAAGATTTAGTCGCTAGCCATTGGAGCCTTTTGACGCGAACTCTGACATTTGTTAGATAAAAGAGCCCGGTTACTCAGCTTCGATCGCCACGTGACCACGTACTCATAGCAATTACTACTTTTTGACGCGAGAATTGACACTTTTGGTGAAGATCCCCTGTTACTAGGTAGTAAAGACTAGCGGATTACAGTCAACTCTTATTCACAGCCAAATAACACAAAAACTCAATATAACACAAAAATTAAAAGAAAATTTGCATCAGCTAGCCTCATTTTCTAACATGGAGAACTAAGATTAATAACTAGACCAATTCACATGAAAATGCCAACAATCATTCCCTATACTTAGGAAAGTTAACTAAAAATTATAAAAGTCACACAGTTGTCAATATTTACCACAGAGATATTCTTAGACTCAAGCACATTCACTTGATACACTTCCATTACTAAATCTTGGCAATAGCAGAAATAGAGGCAACAATCCAACATCAAACTTGGCATCACATACGAGCTAATCACTAAAAAGAAAAAAAAGAAAATGAATGAAAGATGGACAAATAACAAACTAAAAAGAAAGAAAAAAAATCTAAAAACTCAAAACTAAAGACACTAGCACCATAACTGCTCCCCTCACACCTAAATCCTACATTGTCCTCAATGGAGGAAATAAAGTAATTAAAGTGGAGAGAACAACGAAACTTCCCTCTCGAGTAGATAAGGGGTAGGCAGGAACGGTGGAGGGAAGCCGATGTGGTGGAAGTACGCGGCCAAATTCTGAGACATCCTTGCCACTTGGCGGGTGATGTTCGTCACTCTCTCAACTACGTGGTGAATCTCCACCTTGACGACTACACGGAGTGATGGTGTGGCAAGGGGAAAGGCCGGCGGCGCTGCGGCTTGGTTGCGGACAGGAGCTTGCGACGCATAGGTGGAGAGCGGCGGCGGGTAGTTTGGGCAGCAAGGTAGTGGCGGTTGAGAGTGAGATCGAGGAAGAGGGAGCAAGGTGAGCTTTCCTACGAACATGACGCGGGCACGTCATGTAGGCACGAAGTGAAGAGCTCTCCAGGTTACTTGACGCGGGCACGTTATGAGGATAAGAACCCCTTCTGACGAATCTGACCATGAGCTCTTCATGGGATTTGACGCGGGCACGTCATGAGGGCAAGAACCCCTTCTGATGATTCTGACCATGAGCTCTTCATATGTCATGATGCAGGCCCGTTATGAGGGCAAGAACCTCTTCTGACGATTCTAATCGTGAGCTCTTTATACGTCATGACGCGGGCGCGTCATGACAGAAGGACACCTACAAATCATCAAAACTAAAATTGAAACCCGAAATCAGTCAATCTCAAGGAAAACATATTTAAACTATCACACGAAATCAAACAAACAATTAAAAGAAACAATTGGATTGCCTCCCAATGAGCGCCTTTCTTTAATATCTTTGGCTAGAGATTGTCATGTTTGTTCAGGGAGGATAAAATCTTGTGGCTCGTTTCAGTGCTTCATACTCTATGTAATCCTGATAGCCCTCGTAAGTAGAGTAATCCTTGAGCACACGAGCTACGGTCTTCCATGGACTAGTAGATGGCGACAACAAGTCAACAATGATCTGAATCTCCACTCACTCCTCCATCACACGCATTTATCGATTCAAGATATTTTGCCATCGCCACTCTTAACTTATTTCTGTCATGAAATTTAAAATTTTCTAGTATAATAAAATCAATCTCAGTAACAGGAATTGAAGAATAAGAGTCAGGAGAATATTGATGAATGAATGGATGAGATGTCACCGCATTTGAAGATTGTTCACTGGATTCATTCTCTTGAATGAGTTGATACTGGGGTCTCATTTCTTGCACTTTAGTTTCCTTTTCAACAGCAGCTTTAGATCTGTTTTCTTGAAACTCTTGCAGTTCCATGTCATTTGGCCGGACAATTGCACTCTCATCTTCCTCAAGGTTGATATTGGTTTGTGCGGCAAATTCTTCAAGGTGAGAAGCTAATCACGTTATCCTGGATGAGAAGCTAATCACGTTATCCTGGATGTAGAGTTGGCAATTTGTCCCAAGTCCCAATGGGCTACCCAAGCCCAAAGGAATTTTGGGCGGGATGGGTATTATAATTTAGTATTGGGTTTAAGTTGGGACACATCCCAATTATACCCAGCAGTGAATGTGAAAGGATGGGAAATACTTGGGTACCCACTGGCCCAAATATCTTCCTAAAAAATATACTTCGAAACTCCTCTCCTTTCTTCATCCGCAGCTCCCTCAACGATTCCTCCACCTCCCTTTCTTCCTCCGCTCTCCACGGCTACTCCGACCTCCGCTCTCCCGGTAGTTATTTCATCCTCATATACCTTCCTTCCTAATTTACTCAGTTT